ATATATATATATATATATATATATATATATATATATATATATATATTAGTTTAGTTCTGTTATTTTGGTTCTTTTGTTGTTTTTTTTTTCTTCTCCCTTCCCTTTCCTTTATAAAAGGGGAACAGCCCAAATGCAACAAAAAATACCCCCAGCAAGGTGTGATAGAAGTCAGCTCCCAGATTTAATTCCCTATCCTGTGGTGGTGGAGGGAAAGAAAAAAAATCACTAGAGAAGGTGCCAAAAACAAGCCCTGAGTGACATCACATTTAATGTCGGGTAAAACCCAGAGCATGAGCAAGGACTGAGCCCCTCTGTGCCACCAACAATCTGATTAAAAACTGCCCTATAATAAACGAGACTATTCCCAGTCTTCCCCTCTGTGCTTTTCACTGAGTCCTCCTAATAAATCCCAAGTAAGAAAGTTTAAAAAGAAAGGCAAACAAAAGATGCTGTTGGAGCTATTACTGCCATTAATCAAACACTTCAGGGCAACAGCAGACAAGACACATCACCTCACCTTGGCAGAAAATCTTTTTGAAGACACTAAAAGGAGGGGAAAAAAAAAAGGAACATTAGGTCTTGCAATACATTTAGATGGATCAAATATAAATAAACATTTGGCCCATAAATAAACCATACAGGTGTTTTATCTGAGGGATAAAAAGAGAAGCAGAAGAATTAATGCAGGAGGAAGCAGAGATTTTTTTTTTTTAATAATAAAGGCTTAGCACTGGTAACCAGCACAGAAGTTGGGAAAACATTCAGTTTGTGCCACACGCCACTGAAACAAAGGAATAAATACAAAATTAATTCAAAACCCAATATTTCAGCAGAGCATTTCCATGCCCAGGCTCCAAACCAAACGAGGGCCCAATTAAGCGGCTGCTGCAGCTTCTCCCTCACTCATCTGAGACTTGGAACCTCTCAAGTGCATCCAAGGATCACATGCAAATGCATTTTCACTACCCTGCTCCTTTATGCCATTCATCACTTTCGGGTTTTTTTCAGAAATAAACACAATTGTGATGGAAAAGAAGAAGCTCTTCTCCCTCTGCCACAGGAAAATTCAGAGAATTGTGGAAATCCAGGAGGATTTGGGTTGGAAGGGACCTTAAAGACCATCTTTCCACTAGCCCAGGTTGCTCAGAGCCCCATTTTTCAGTCTCTAGTTAAGGGACAACCTTCCTACACTCAATAACCCAAAGCAAAAGGGTCAAAAATAGGAAATATCCAGGTAATATCCCAAAGGTGCTTCGCCCCTTCTCAGACAGAGAAGAGCAAGAAACTAAAAAATCCGTTAGGAACTAAGAGATTCCTCAAATGGGAACATTTTAATCACATCCTTTGCAGTGAGTTGGATGGGCCAAAGCAAACAGGTATTTTTATAAATGTTGTCTGTCTGAATTCCAGGGATTTCGGGTCAGCTGCTGTGGTTCCATCCCACATCTCCAACCCGGGATGAACCAGAGGGTGAGTTGTGGTGGGAGAGCAGAGCACGTCCTCCCTGCTGCACCAGCATCTGCTCCCAGGGGCAATCCCAGCCCAGGCTTTAATCCCCCTGATCCACATCCCTGCTACTCCTCAGCCCTCGCTGTGTCCACAGGGAAAATCACATCAAATGAAAGCCAATCCCAAATTAAATGTCAGCCAGGGATCAGATTAAACCCGCCCAATTCCGTTAATCTGGGACGTCAACCAGCTTTAAAACTCCTGCCTTTACCAAATGTCTCCTCAATCAACAGCCTGTGCTGTTAATTATCCCTCTGGGATAATTAGTGGAGCTGTCAGTCCCTGCACCAGGCCAGGGGGATCAAAAAGAGCCCAGGATGGGGCTGAATCCCAAATCCTCCTGACAATTTTCTGTTCCAAACAGATGAATTTCGCTTTCTGTTCCACAGTTCAGAGGTTCCAAGGAGGGCTCTGTAACACAAATCCAGGGATGCAGCTCCTGTGCCTCTTGCAGTATTTCCATCACTAATTTCAACCCCCCTCAAACCAATTCAGCTTCACCTCGGGCAGGAAACTCCAGCCCCTCAATTCCCTGCCTCCAGTGCCTCCAATTCCCCTTGGAGCACTGGAGAACAGGCTGGCTGAGCAGATCAGGGTCCTGCCAACAATAATTAAGAGTATTTTTGGAAAAGCCAACAGGACTCACCTTGGAACATGATTTTTGTCCTATCCAGGGGAGCCACTGCAGTTTTAGCAACAGCACCAGCCAATGCACCAGACATCAGGGAGTTGAGCACTTTCTTCTTCTCCTGGTTATCCTGGAACAAAGCATTGTTCAGCCCTAAACACAAGGAATAACACTTCACCTCTGCTGCAGCATTTACCCCCCTTTCTCCAGGATTTGGGTCAAAATGCTTTACTAAATTTCTAGCACAGTGAATTCCTGAGCAGATCAGGAAGCAAAATTCCAAGATCTGCCACCTCCTACCTTCTCTCTGTTATTTCTCCTTCTCAAAGCTCAGCCACTCCCTCCCTAGGATTTCTCCCCAAGGTTCTCCCTCGCCCTCCCAGTAACACCCAAGCCCTATTCCCACATGGTTCCCAAGGATAAAACCAGGCAGGTTTCCTACTCTGCTGGATGGGATGGCAGTGGGTTTGTTACTGGCACTCCTGCCCCAGCTCATGTTTATAAAGCAGCTCTTTTCTCCCAACACACAGACAGGGAGCAAGTAAACGAAATCCAACACCGTGGAGGTTCCAGACTGGGGGATGAGGCTTAATGTGAGCCTCTGACACGCTCTGTGTGGTTGTGGAGAAGAGGAGTTAACATCTCCCTTTTTTTCAGAGCGTTTCACAACTAAAAAAGTTAATATTTATTGCCAAAATCCCTGGATTTCCCCTCCCATCCCTGCCTGCCCGGGGCCGAAGGCAAGGGCAGCCACGCGAAGGTGAACTTCAGCCTGAGCTTGGGGCTAAACCAGACCAAGGTTCAGCATCACCTCCTCTTCCAGGCTTTCCAGCAAATCCAGCAGCAGGAGCAGCAGGAGCAGGGACACCCAGGCTTGTGGCCCTGGTCCCAGCTCTGCCACCAGGACACAACAAGGGAACCCAGCCCTGCCTGGCAGCGCCAGCGACGCCTCTTCCCAAGGGGATGGAAACTCTTGGTTCTCCCCAGAGGAACACAAGTTCCACATTCCAGGGCTGGCACACACCCTGCAGCTCTGCCAGCGCCTCAGAGCTCAAATCACAGGCTGCTCGAGGTTGGAAGGACAGGAAAACCCATCCAGTGCCACCCCCTGCCATGGGCAGGGACACCTTCCACTGGCCCAGGTTGCTCCAGGCCCTGTCCTGGCTTTGGACACTTCCAGGGATGGGGCAGCTGCTCTGGGAAATCCAGTCCCTCACTACCCTCCCAGGGAAGAATTCCTTCCTAATATCCCCTCCAACCCACTCTCTGATAGTTTGAAGCCATTCCCCCTTGTCCTGGCACTCCAGGCCCTTGTCCAAAGTCTCTCTCCATCTTTCCTGTTGGCTCCTCCAGGTCCTGGAAGCCACAGTCAGGTCACCTCAAAGCTCCTCTCCTCCAGGCTGAACAATCCCAACTCTCCCAGCAGAGCTGCTCCATCCCTCTGATCACCCTGGTGCCTCCTCTGGGTTTTCTCCAGCAGCTCCACGTCCTTCCTGTGCTGGAGACCCCAGAGCTGGATGCAGGATTCCAGGGGGGATCTCAGAATCCCCCCCTTCCCCTCCTTCCCACGCTGCTTTTGGCTCCCCAGACCCTCGTGCTCTCACCTCTGCTGGGAGATGGGCTGCTGTGACTGGCTCCACATCCTTTGGGAATTCCACTGGACCCTCTCTCACACCATTACCCATTACCAGTCGCACTTCCAAGGGGGCAGAAGAGTTCTGGCTCCTACATGGGGAATAAAAACCAAACAAAAGCCTCAAAAATAGGGAATATCCAGGTAGTGAAAGCACAGGAAGGACTGACACACTCCCAGGGCCATTTCCAGCAGGAAACCCCTCTCCAAGCTCCCAGGGGAAGAGATTCCCAGGATCCTCATGCAATTCCCTTCCTTTAAGGTGTAAAGGGATGTGTGGGGGGTATTTTGGTGCCACATTAAACCTGCGTCCATCACATTCACCTTTTCCACCCCAAGAGGAACTCAGCTGCAAGCAACACCACCAAAATATCCCTCATTTCCAGGGAGAAGGATCCATCATTTCCAGGGACAGGAATCCTCCCTGTTCTCTTACAGGGAGGATTTTGGTTGATATCTCACTGCTGAGCAACCAGACATCGGAGGGGGCCCGTGGAAATTTAAAACCCCAGCCCTGGAAAAAGGGGGGAAAAAAATAGTCCCAGGAGCAAATCCCCAAAGCCTGGTATGAGCAAGTGGAGTTATTTTAGGGAAGAGAGAGATCCAGTGGCTCACACGTGCCAGAAAGGCTGTTCTGATGACACCAGGATTCAACCTGAAGCAGCACATCAGTGATTTTAGGGCTCCCTCTCCTCACAGCTGCATCATAAAAAGCAGAAATACCAGCATAGATGCAGAGAGAATGCTTTAAAGAGAAGCTTTTTGCTTTTTTTTTAGCTTTGAATTTCTAATATTTCTGCTTTTTCGGGTAATTTTTTTGCACCATGCAGTTTTTTTTAATTTTTAAATCTCCAGAAAGGGAAGAGCTGCAGCTGGAAAAACCCTGGGGCAGCACAGAGAGGTGGTGACCCCGTTCACAAAAGGGTCTGTGACAACAGGGAGCAGCTTTCTGAGCCACAAAGCTGCTCCAACAGCCCCAGTGCCACCCTGGATTCCTTTCCAGGAACGTGCTCTTGGGAAATCTGAATTCCCAAAGGAAATCTGAATTCTCAAACAGATCCTGCCCCTCAGAAAGTCACTTCACTCCTGCTCCCTCTGACACCTGGCTTGGAAAAACCACTTTCAGGCTCTTTTTTCCCCCCTCCTTTTTAACAATCTCCAGGTATTTTCTGCTTGTCAGCACCTTTCAGACTTGCTGACCTATTTTATTTTTCCCCCCCTCGTGTCTCCCATAAATTAGTGCCACCCTTCCCTCTCCAGCAGATATTAAAGGCAAAGCAGAGGCAGCTCCTGCGTCACCAGTTTGGGATGATGGATCCACAAACACGCCTGGGCACCACATCCCAGAATCCCACACTGGTTTGGGTGGGAAGGACCTTAAAACTCATCCATTCCCACCCCCTGCCATGGGCAGGGACACCTTCCCTGTCCCAGGGTGCTCCAACCTGGCCTTGGACACTTCCAGGGATGGGGCAGCCATGGGGAATTCCATCCCAGCCCCTCCCCACCCTCACAGGGGGGAATTCTTTCCCAATATCCCAAATCTCTCCCTGCCCTCTGGCACTGGGAAGCCATTCCCTGTGTCCTGTCACTCCACCCCTTGCCCAAAGTCTCTCTCCATCTTTCCTGTTGGCTCCTTCAGGTCCTGGAAGGCCACAATCAGGTCACCCCAAAGCTTCTCTTCACCTGCTGGAGCTTTGGGAAGACACAAATCCACGTGTTTCCAACTCCTGAGGGGGTTTTCCAAAAAAAGATGTTGCTCAGAGAGCAATAACTCCAAATTTGAACAAGAAATAACACCTGACACAACCCAAACATCAGCAGTGTTGGCTCCTGGGAGGTTCCCTCACAGAACTTTGGTCCTGTGAGCAAAAACTCCCTCCAGGATCAAGCCCAGAGATGATCCCATGACACAGCAGAGCAGAGCACTTAATTATTTCAAAGAACAGTTAATTATTTCTCACTGCTACCTGCAGTCATTTCCCTTTCCTTCTCACTCCTTCTTATCTCCCCTACCCAGGAAAACTCATTGTAAAATGAAATAAAGCCTTTCACCAAGGAAATCACAGGTGGAGACATTTCCCCTCCCTGGCTCCAACAAAGGAATGTAGGTCACGATATCAGATTTATCTCTGCCAAAAATAACACACACACACACACCCCCCCCTCAAAAATAGAAATCGTGCTAAAGGGCTTAGGGATGCAAAATGCAACTTTTCCCTTTCAAGCCTGATTTTGAAAGATTGATTGAGAAAGAGATGCCTGAGAGGGAATTTGCAAAACTGATGTTAAGCCCTTGACTTATTTTGGGATGAGATGCATTCACTCCATGATATTGTCTTTCAGCCCACTCAGACATGTCCCTCTTTTATTTTTAGTGCCCTGAGCTCACAAACACCTGTTATATGCCCAGTTTTACACATTCTGCTCTGCACAAACACAGGCTCTAAACATGCAGAGGCTTCGAGGCAAAAATAGCATTTATTTATTATTTTTTTGGCTGAAGGAAAGCAAGGGCAGCTGTGTTTTATTTTGGGGCTCTGATGCCGGGGAGTTATTTTGCCCAAGAATGCACATTTATTGGTGCCACACAGAACAAAGGTTATGTTCAAACCTGAAGAGTGAATTTAAAGTTTCAGGGTGAATTTGTAACACCAGACATCACTTTGCATATTTATCACTGACTGGCTCATTAAGTAACCCACTGAAAGCCACGTGGGTATTTTTTTAAATCCCTGTATTTCATCTTGCTCCCAACACAGTCATTTCCCTGTGTTTACAAGGCCACAGACAACCAGAAAAAAAAATGAAATAGCTGTGGATTAGATGTAATTTTTTTTATGACACACCACTGGGTTATTTATATCAGAGTTACACAAGGCCCTGTCACACATCTGGACCCCGAGGGCAGAGCAAACCCTTCCCCAAAGGAATCAGGCAGGAAAACTGCTGGCAGAGGGGAGTTTGGAAGTTAAAGGGGTTTAATGAGTAACACGTTTACACCAAAATCCAATTTATGGAGAGTGCAAAGCACTTCCTGCACATCCAGCAGAATGCACTGCCTGGAACTCAGCCCTGGAGCAACACAGATTAAAGATTTCCCAAACTGGGAAAAAATAGGGAAGCTCCCAAACACCAACTCTGTCCCACACCACTCCTGACTCCAGCCACGATGTTAAATTCCAGCTATTTGATTATTTTTATAATCATAATCATATTTTTAAATCATACTTTTATAACCATATTTTTACAATCATATTTTATAATCATATTTTATAATCATATTTTATAATCATATTTTATAATCATATTTTATAATCATATTTTATAATCATATTTTATAATCATATTTTATAATCATATTTTATAATCATATTTTTATAACAATATTTTTTATAATTGTGTTGGTGGTTTGAAGATAAGAGACACTTAACAGTGCCAAAAGAAATTAATTTAGAAGAACAGTAGCTTGAAAATGAAAAAAAAAAAAGACTTCTTCTCCTTTTTCTCCTGGACTCTTTTTGGAAGAAAGGAGGGACTTATCTAATGCAATATATTATTTTACTGTAGAAGAAATAGTTAAGTTGGTTTATATATATATATACATGTATGTATATAAATAAACTTGTAGATATTCCCCCTCCCCCAATATCAAGTTCTTTGTGTCTGAAAACTTCTTCTCCCCTTTCACGAGACCAAATTGTAACAACCCCTTTAAATTGGCCTTTTTTTGAAATGCTTGTGTTTTTCAAACCACCACAAATTGTAATCTCATAACTGTATTTTCACAACTATAAATTTTCACAGCTAGAAGAAAAAAAAATACCATTTTAAACGATCTCCACATAATTAAAGCACAAGAGCACAAGACTTTCAGGGACCCACCAGCACAACTGAAAAACCACCACAAATACCCCCTCAAAGTTTGGCTGTGAACAAATAAAATCACATCCCTAAAGGTTTGCAGGTGATTCTTTCAGTAATTCCAAATTAAAATTAAAATTAAATGTATGTATTTTCCCCAGCTTTCCCATGGCAGAGCAACATCAACTCCCAGGAGCAGCAGGAAGAAGAACAGAAGGAAGGGGCAGGGGGTTGGAATTGGATGTTAATTTATTATTTGGGTCCTTCCAACCCCAATAATTCTGGGATTCCACGAGGGGAGGGTGGAGCAGGTGGGGGTCAGGTTTTACTCCCAGGGAACAAGGGACAGGTTTAGGTGGAATATTGGGAAAATTTCTCCATGGAAAGGGTTGTCCAGCCCTGGCAGAGGTGGAATCACACTCCTTGGAGGGATTTAAAAGCCAGGATGAGGCACCTGGGACATGGTCAGGGGTGGTTGGACTTGAGCTTGAGGGTTTTTTTTCCAACCTCAACAATTCCGTGACCACCAGAAAACAAGTTTGTGTGACATTCCCTGGTGGAATTTAGACCTGTCCCAAAGCCCTGAGGTTTCTGAGGGAATTATCATCTCCCCAGCAAAGCAAAGCAAAGCAAACAGCACCAGCAGCTGTTTGCTGAGAAATATTTGCTTTTTTTTTTTCCCCTCGGACAACCCCAGAGGGAATCACCAAAATAGTCCCGAGCCCCGTGACAGGGAATGGCAAAGCTGTGGCCCTGATGCTCACAAAATTCACTGTATTCAGGAGAAATTTGGGGCTGAGGGGACTAAAAACAAGATGCAGACAGAAAATTAAAGGCTTTTTAAATTGAATAATTGGGAGTTGTTGCAGCAGCACATCCCACTCTCAGCTCACAGTTCACCTCTGGGGCATCATCTCCATTTCATTCAGGTAAAGCCCCTTTGTATAACTCCATTCAGACATTCCAGCTTCCCTCATTGCTCATTTATCCACCTCCTAACTCCTCTTTTTTTTTAGTTTATTATGTCATTAACGTGGCTAATGAAAGCACGTAATTAAATTAGCAAAGAAGAAGAAAACCCGGGGAGCTCCTGCAGGAACGTTCACACGTTTTCCCAGGCAGGCTGAAGTGACCCAGGGAAGTTGCTCAATTAGGTTTCCCCTTCAATTGTTGTTGTTAAATTGAGCAATTGAGTCTGACAGAGGGAGAGAGAGAGATGTGGTAAAAACTGAGATTACTGCAGCCTCGAAATCACCCTTGGAGCAAAAGCATCACAGAAAATCACAGGAAATCACAGGAAAAAAGGGCTGAAACGCTCAGAACGGGATGAACTCCAACCAGATGGGCCCTTGAGGTCCATCTTTGCCTTCCAGTTTGATTAAGCTGCTAAAAATCAAGCCCAGAGGTGCCCTGCAGCCCCAGCTCTCCTCAGTCACATTCATCTCCCTGCACACAAATCCAGCCCCAAAACATCAGCTGTGAACAGTCTAGAGCTCCCCTTCCCCTTAAAGGCCCGGACAGAAACCATTGGAACTATTTTTAGGGAATCACTGCCTGAAAGACTCCCTAAATTACACTATCTGGAAGAGTTTAATTTTCTTCCGGCCTTCCTCAGCCCCAAAGAAACGCTCCAAACTCCAGGGCCTGCCAATAAAAACCCGGGACAAAGATCCAAATTCTTTGCGTGGTTTTAGATTATCTGACCCGAATTAGGGCACTGGGAAATGGTTAAACCCAAAGCCCTGCAAGAAAAAAAAGGCAGCTGATTATTCCTGAGAGTCCTGGAGCCTGGTGTTTTTGAACAGAGCTGGGAAGGAGCCCCAGAACAGAGGGAATCTTGGCAAGGGAAGACAGAGCTTTCATTCTTCAGCTGCTGAGAGGAGCCTGTTGCTGGGAACACCTCGGCTGTGTTTTCCACAGCCAAAAGCTGGAGAGCTGCTCTTATCTGCGAGGCAGAAACCAGCTTTATCTGAGGGAGGACAGAGCCCTCCAGCCAGGAGGGGCTGAACCCACTCCACGGGTCAGGGAGCAATTCCCTGCCTGCAGGAGAAGGCAGGAAAACAAGCCACCCACCCCCCAAACCCTCAGGAATCACTTCTCCAAGGTGATGCCACGAGGAAACGACAATAAAAAATATAAAACCACCTCAACACACAATCTCTGCTCTAAACGCCCCCCCTCAGCAGAAAAATAAGTAATTAAGGAAAAATAAGGAATTAAGAGCTTCCATGGGGAAGCAGGAGGAGCCACAGCTGTGCCAGGAAGGTGCAATTCCCCCAGGGCAAGGATTTCCACCCTGGTGGAGCCCAGGAGATCAGGAGTTGCCCCTCCACTGTGTGTTGTGCTCACTCTGTGTTAACTTTGGTAGGATTTAAAGTTTAAGCATCACCTCTGCTCAGCCAAAACGCTGCAGATTTCAGGTTAATTCAGTTATTTGGGGGTAACTCAGGCCCGGCAGCACCAACACAGACCTTCACCCTTGTGCAACAACAGGGAGCAGCAGATTCAAAGCACAGCTACAGAGCAAAGAGCTCCTTAAAACCTCATTTATTTGGTGGCCTGTTTGCATCTCAGTTTGCCTCTCCACTCCAGGCAAAATGTAACATCCTTTCCCAAGCCCAGGAATATTGATGGATCACCTGGAAAATGTGGGTTTTTCACCACAGGGTGAAGAATTGGTATTGGTTGTAGGGGAAGGACAAAGCTGAACGAACTTTCCTGTCACTGGCAGCAAAGTTGCTCGAAGAAAATCATTCCTGGTTCCATTTGGAGGTTTTTCTCCAAACCTGTCTGACCTGTACCCAGCCCAGGCAACCACAGGCTCAGGGCTGGGGTTTTCTGTTTTGTGTAACCTCGTGGAGTGAGGCTGAACACACCAGACACACCTGAAACCTGCCCTCACAAGGCAGGGCTCCAGCTCAAAAAAAAAAACCAACCAAACCACCCCAATTCTTGCAGCTCCTGACTCACATTCTGGGGTTATCAAGGGCCAAAATTCCCTTGTCTGAAGCAATCCCTGGGGCCAGAGTTCCTGCTGAAATCCAACACCAAGGACAGCCCCAGTCCCCCCTCTCCTCAGACATCCAGAGGTCCTGAACAATCCTTTTGACTTGCTGGGGGAAAGAAAAGCAAGTGTTGAGTACCCACAGCTCCAGCAGGGTGTAAAGATGCTCAGTTGCCCAGAATCCAGCCCTGCTGTTTTAGACACTCAGGTTATTTTTAAATACCTTCACCCACAGGTTGTTGGTGTGATTATATCAACCCTCTGGTACCTTTATTACAGCCTCTCCTTCCTCAGCTGGTTTCCAACACCCACAGACATCTCCTCTGTTCCTTTACACACACCCCCCTTCTCCAACCCGGAGTCATTTCAACCCCAGAATGTTTCCAAAACACTCCAAATCCATCAGACCGCAGGGAAAAAAAACACCAGAGGAGCAAAACAACCTCCCCCAGGAGCTCGGCGGTGAACGCGACCGTGAAGCAGAAGAAGAAGCCAAAGCAGAGTGACAGCAGGTTCCAAACCCACCCTGAATTATCAGCCAACAGGAAAAACACACACAAGAACAGGTCTCCAAGGCACACAGACACATCTCCAGTGCCTCCAGGCCTCGGGGGAGCCCAGGTTTAAGGTCATGGCAGCAACTGCTCTGCTGGAACAGCGAGTTCCACACTCACAGGCAGCGGGGAAGGTGGAACTTCATTTATTAACCCTGCACAAGCACTTCCAGCGTTTTCCACCTGGCTTTTGATGTTACAATTTAAACCCAATGCTTCCACCCCCAGCTGGGAAGGCAGAGCAGGGATGTCCCCCCCCCCGCTCTGGAAGTTTTTGCTTGTGCTGAAGGGGGAGAAGCAGGAGGAAGGGGCAGATCTGTGTTTAACACACTCTGTGCCCTCTTGGTACCTGTCCCTCAGCACAGAGACAACACTTTGCCACCTTTCCAGGTTCAGACCAACTTAACAGGACCAAAATCCCACCTGGCACGTGGAGCTGAGCTTGGCTGAGCCCAGCTTAGACTTCGAAGGGAAGAGGAGCTGGAAAACTCGACACAGACACCCCACAACTGAGAGAAGGGACAGGCTGGCAAGGGGGGAGGTGGGCAGGGGGACAGGCTGGCAGAGTTGGGGGCAGGAGGTGGGCAGGGGGACAGGCTGGCAGGGCAGGCAGGGGGGCTGGCAAGGGGAGCTGTGGGGCAGGCAGGGGCTGGGAAAGCAGGGAGGGAGGGAGGGAAGGTGAGGCAAGGGAAGGCAAGGCAGGGAAGGAAGGCAAAGCAAGGTAAGGCAGGGCAGTGCAGGCAAGGAGAGAAGGCAAGGCAGAGCAGGCACAGAGGGAAGGCAAGGCAAGGCAAGGCAGGCAGGGAGGGAAGACAAGGCAGGACAGGCAAGGCAAGGCAGGGCAGTGCAAGCAAGGAAGACAAGGCAGGGCAGTCAGGGCAGACTAGGGAAGGCAGGCAGGGCAAGGCAGGGCAAGCAGGGAGGGAAGGCAAGGCAGGGCAGTCAGGGCAGGCAGGGAGGGAAGGCAAGGCAAGGCAGGGCAGTCAGGGCAGGGCAGGGCAGGGCAGGCAGGGAGCGCAGCCCGCACCCGGCCGGTTACCGGGCCGGGCCTCGCCTCGGTGCCGCCGCCCGCGCTGGGCTCGGCCGAGGCCGCTCTCCCGCAGCTCGGGCCGGCCCCGGACACGGCTCCAGCCGCTGCCCCCAGAGCTGCCGGGCGGCCCGGGAGGGTCTGCGGCCGGAGCAGCCGGAGCCCCGCGGGGCCGGGCCGGCACGGGGTGACCCCGCAGGAGGCCGCGCCAATGTCACCCGGTGCCTCGCGCCGCCGCACAGCCCGGGGCCGCCCGGCCTTGGGTCACGGCGATGTGCGGCCGGGGCGGTGTCAGCGCCCGCTGTGGGTCCTCGTCCCGGCCCTTGTCCCGGCGCGGTCCCGTCCCGCACTCACCGGCTCCGCTCCGCTCCGCTTCGGCCGCCACCGCCGCCGCCAGGCCGCCCCCGCTGCGCCGCGGGAGGCGGGGCCCGGCCCGCCGCGCGGCCAATCACCGCGCGGGAGGGCAGGACGGCGCGCGCGGAGTGGCTGCGCGCCCGCGGAGTGACGGCGGAGGCGGCCAATCGGAGGCGGGAAGGGGAGGGGACAGAGGGGAGGTGGGCGGGGCGTGCGGCACCGGGCGGGGGCGGCGGGGACGGAGCGGGGAGAGACCGCCCGGGGATAGAGCGGGGACAGAGAGGGGACACCGCCCGGGGACAGAGCGGGGACAGACCCGGCACGGCGGAGACACCGCCCGGGGATAGAGCGGGGACACCGCCCGGGGACAGAGCGGGGACAGACCCGGCACGGCGGAGACACCGCCCGGGGATAGAGCGGGGACAGACCGGGCACGGCGGGGACAGAGCGGGGAAGGACCGGAGACATCGCCCAGGCACAGCAGGGAGAGCTCGGAGAGGGGCAGGGATACCGGGGAGAGACCGGAGAGACGGCCCGGAGACACCGGGGACAGAGCGGGGAGGGACTGGGGATACCGAGGACAGACCCAAGAGACCCCGGGAGATCCCGCCCGGGATACCGGGGTCAGACCGGAGATCCCGCCCTGTCCCACCGAGGAGAGCCCGAGATCCCCCGACCTGCACCGGGGAGCGCCCGGACATCCCGCCCAGTCCCCTCCCGGGGATCCTGCCCGGCTCTGCCGGAGGCCCCGGGGCAGCGCCGCCCCTCCAGCCCCGCTGTCCTGCCCGGCCCCGGTGCCCGCGGTCCCTCGGGAGTTCACCCCCAGGGGCTGCAGGTACACCAGTTACACCAGTACCTGCTTAAAGGGGACGGGAAGTAAATCCTGTGGGGGAAAGCCCACGTTTGATTCTCCCACAGCCTCGGCGCTGCTTTTCCCCCAGCCCAGACCCACCAGGAGCCCCAGGCTTCACCAAACATATTCCCCAGAGTGTCCAGTCTCTCCTAAACATGGGGCACCTCAAGGACTCGGGAGCTCAGGGTTTCTTCATCCTCTTTTTGTGCCCACTCTGCCCCAAGGAAGGGGGACACGGTCACCTGGAGGTCAGAGCAGTGCACAAACCCCCTCAGGCTGTTCCCCCAGCAGAGAGGAGCCAGGGCAGCCTCTCCTCCCCCAAACACCAGGGTAGGAACCCCTGAAGAACACAGTGACCTTTGCTATCTGCTGGCAGAGACAGCACAGGGCTGCAGGAGGTTTTACTTCCAGACTCAGCACAGAGGCCTTTCCACCACCTTTCTTTTCCTGCCTCAAAAAAGGCTCCATAAAGAGCCAACCACCCTTGGAGGTTTCCATGTTTTATAGGGTCAACATTTCTACAAAGTTACCACATTAAATACATCCACTCACACACAACAGCAGCAGCAGCAGCACAAAAGGAAGGCTCAGCACCAGAGCAGGGCTGGTAACACAGCCCAGCAAAACACAGAAGCCCTTAGCTGAGACTTCAGAGCCTTTCTGGGGCCTGTTTTGCCCCCAAATCCACCGTTTTCCTCAGTCCATGTGGTTCTTTGCCTCTCCACCACAATCAGAGCACTCCTGGGTTGAGGGAAGTGCTGCCCTGTTCAGAGGTGACAAAGCCTGGGCTCCCCTGTGCTTCCTGCTTCCCTACTTTGGAAACTACCACCCCCACTCCCAGTCCCTGACCTGCTCATCCCACGGAGGGAGAACATGAACTTTCCTCCTGGATGCCAAAGGGAATGTTCCTCTGGGCCCTATCGCCCCAAATCCTCGCTTTGCTTTTGTTTAAAACGTCAGGTTGGCCGAAAATCCCGAACAAAGCAGCGACACAGAGCATGGTCAGCAGTAAAATAACAGGGGAACAGTTACAACAGGACAGAAACACGTTCACAAACTGACAGGATTCCTCCTCGTCCATCCCGTGACCGGGCTCCACAAGCGGAGGGACAAACGGGGAGCGGCAGCCACGGCACCAAACTCTGCCCAGGAATGAGCCCCTTCTGCTCTCCCTGCATGAGCAGAGCCCGTGGGAGCAGCCCTGGCCTGCACACGAGGAACACGGCTAAGAGGGGAGCAGATCATCTTCAGGCATTAGATGATCCAGGGAATGATCACGACACAGGGTTGGGTTGCAGCCTGTGAATGCACAAAGCCATTTGCAGCCGTAGCTCCCAAGAAAAAGTTCCCTGCAGCCTCCCAAGCCAGGCATTTGCTTCGGATATTCCAGCTGGGTGTCAGTGCAGATTAATCCATGCCACTGGGGTTTTTTTTGCCCGCTCAAGATTCCAGGTACAGAGGTGTTTCAGAGCCTCCCCCCCTTCGGGGAGGATTCACTGGGCCAGGCTCCCCTTCTGGCCTGTCCACAGCTCCCTCAGCTCCACTTTGCAGCCCAGATCCCTCAGGGCAGCCTTGGCCACGTCGTCACAGTCCCTGTGAGCAGCACGAGCCTCTGTGATCAGGTTCTCAGCTCCCATCTCCAGGATGGGCTGGGAAAAGTCCCGGCTCCGGGAGACCAGGTTGCGGATCAGCATGCAGGCCTGTTTCTGAGGAGAGAAGGCAGGGAGAGAGAGAGTTCAGAAAACACCATCCCTGCAGGATCTGGCTCCCAACTAAGGAATCTTTTCTAGGAAACCAAACTGAGATGCTGCAGGCAGCAACAAACTATTTCCTGGAACGACAAAATCCACGGACAAAGGTATGGAAGCTGTTTCCCGTCGAGGTTTATACAAGCAGAGCTCCTGCTTTTGTCAGGACACCAGCAAATCTCAAACACCAGCCAGGGAATACCAATTAGTTCTTTAAATACTAATATTCAGTATTTAAATACTAATATTCAGTATTTAAATACTAATATTTAGTATTTAAATAAATAACACTACGAATTCTCCAGTGCAGCAGCCCCACCTTCTCACCCTTCCTGTGCTGCTCCAGGCACCTTCCCTGGCACTGAGCTTAAACCTCTCCTTCAGAAATACTTTCTTTGTTTTTTTTTAATAATCTGAGGAGCACAAAAGCGGGCACTGAGGACCTGCATGAGAAACCAGAGGCAAACTTCTTGCCATGCAGGTGTTTTACTTGACTCTGTAGAATTGATGGCACAGGCTGGGCCTGAAGGAGCTTATCCTCAACCTGCCCTTTCAAAGAGGAGGAAAAGTAATGCCTGGAAGAGGAGCAGGGCATTCCACAGTTTTATGAATCTGAATTCATTAATTAATAACTTGAACCCAGGTGGCTTTGAAATCCAGACTAAGTTTGGCTCGGATCAGACCACGGTGCCCCACCAACACACCCAAAACCCGCTGGAATTTGCCAAGTAAAGGTCAAAACCCCTCAGGAAGCAGGTCCCACAGCCAAGCCCAGTGCTGACCAAAGCCCCAGGTGCCCTGGGGGACGTACCTGGACAGCCACCTCTCGGGGGTGTGCTTTCATGGCCTGCAGTGCTGCCAAGGCCCCGCCGCCCTCCATGATGACGCTGCAGTTCTCGGGCTTACGAAGAGCCAACATGCACAGGGCAGCACAGCCCTGCTCACAGATCTGCAAGGCAAAAGGGGAGACACTCACCTGGCTGAAAAGAGGCCTTTCAGGCAAACAAAAGTGGAGTTTGTTTCCTTTCGTGGCGATTTTTAATTTGGTTTTGCGGGTTTTTTTATGTTTTCCTACAGTGAAACATCCTGCTGCTCTGGAGTGTAAACCAAGCTGGACTGGATGGTCTTGGAAGTCTTTTCCAGAGGCACAGAATATGCCAGGTTGGGAGGGACACACGAGGATCACTGAGTCCAACCCTTAGCCTTACACAGGACCATCCCCAAGAGTCACACCCTGAGCCTGAGAGGATCATCCAAACATCCCTTGAGTTCTGTCAGCCTTGGTGCTGCGACCACAGCCCTGGGCAGCCTGTTCCAACCTTAACTCCAGCCTTAATGATTCCATGTTTTATGCCCCAGAGGTGTAAATACCCACTCCAGCCATCTAATTCAGGTCTAAGAAAAACCCCCAACACACGGTGCACACACCTTTCCATTCACACAAACATTGCCAAACGTGCACCCGGCCACTCCACGACCGCACGTTCCTCGCTCAGCTGCAGCCCCCAAACCGAAGCTCCATCGTGCAGCCCCAAACTGGAGCTGCATTCCCATCCCAGTGGGAATT